ATAACAGAATTGAACAGCAAAAGAAACATTCATAAAACTTAAAAGATAGGTCAATAGAAATTGTCAAAATTGAAGAACAGAAAGAGAAAATCATGAAGAAATATTAGCTGAAGCCAGAAGACCAATGAAAAACAATTTGCTACCAACATGCATGCATGACAATTCAAAGAAAAGAGGAAGAAAAATGGGCAGGAAAAAATAGTTGAAATAATAGTTCAAAATGTTCCAAAATTGATTTGAAATCTTAATCTACACATTGAAAAAGCTCAGTAGGGGATCCTAAAGATGGCAGCTTGCTAGGTAGCTGGATGGAGAGCCTCTCTGGAAAAACAGCTCAGATGCTGGAATTTGAAAACATGGAAAGGGTTGGACTAGTGGAGAGGGACTCTCACGAACCCAAGAGGAAACTGAAGGAAAAAGAAAAATAGGATGAGGAAGGAAAAACACGAGTGGAGGGCTGGAGCCCAAAGCGCTCACTGAGACCAGTCTGCACTGTGATGGGAGTGCTATGGAGATGGGTGATTCAAGGTCACGCTGAAGCCACAGCCATCAATAATGGGAGTTGGTGAGTCCCAGGCCCTTGGTGGGAGGATGCAATGCAGCATAGAGTGGAGCCAAGGTGGAGAGCTGCATTAACTTTCTCAGTGAGTGCTGGCAATTGGCTCCCACAGCAGGTTTTGCTGGCTGGAAGACATCTTGGAGTGGGGCAGAGCCCAGCACTGTTGACATCAGTCAGCTGCCCCCAGCCCAGAAGGGACTGGTGGGATCCACTTGGGCTGAGCCACACCTATGGTTGGGACCCAATAGCCCCAACATAACTTTCATGATCCTGTGACGTCCACCATAACACAGCCTAAGTTGCTGAAGGCACTTCCAGTTAATGACTCGGAAGCAAAGGGCTAGCCTGCATTGTCCCTGCATGCAACTCAGATAATAGCAAATTGGAAAAGGCAGCAAAACCCCAATCAGCATGCTTTGGAAAAACTGTAAGCAACACAGAAAGGGCCTGAGACCTCCGCCATACACTTGTCTGAAAGAAACCAGAAACATGACAAGAAATAGAAACAAGAAAAAACCTCCAGCCACTGACCCTGGGAAAATAAGTACAGGAGAAGTAAATACACAAGAGAACCAGTGCAGCAATCATGCAATATTAGCCACAACATCAGCAGACATAAAGAAATACCTTCATGACCTCATAGACAAACTTAAAACTGAAATTCTAATCCAAGTGAGGCAAGGTATTTTAAAAAGATTAAAGAAATGCTAAGCCCCTCCCAAGAGAACACAGATGGAAGAATACAGGAACCCAGAAAAGGAAGAGAAACATTTGGTGAAGAATATAAACAAAATCTAGAATACATGAAACAGATCCAAAGAGATTACCAGGAAACTAAAAACTCCATTGAAAGCTGGCAAAATGCCTTGACAGAAACTAAAGTTACCCTTTTGAAACTTGAAGAGAGATTTATAACACGTGATCATGAAAGAAAAGATCTCTTGAAAATAACAAGGAACCACGAAGAAACAATTCAAAGGCTAGAAGATGGCAAGAGGATCTATAACTTAAGAATAAAAAATGTGAGCAAAGAAGCAGGAGTAACCACAAATGAATTACAAAGACTATTCACAGAAATAATTAAGGAAAACTTCACAAGCATAGGAAAAAGAAATGATATCCAGATAAATGAGGCATACAGAACTACAACCAACTACAACCAAAACAGATCTACACCAAGACACATAATCAAGATCCCAGAAATCCACCACAAGAACAAAATATTAAAAGTGGCCAGAGAAAAGGAGCAGATCACCTACAAAGGAAAAATCATCAAAGTAATGACAAACTTATCAACACAAACTCTCAATTTGAGAAGATCCTGGGGGGACATAGTCCAAACCCTGAAAGAAAATAACTTCCAACCCAGATTGATGTACCCTGAAAAACTCTCTCTCAAAATTAATGGAGAAATTAGATGTTTCCAAGACAAGGAGGAACTGTGAGAGTTCATGGCCACCAATCTAACACTACAAAAAATACTGAAGGACATTCTAGAGAGAGGGAGAAAAAAATACCAGGATTCCAGCAACAGTGGCAGAGAGGCCTCAATGAATGGGGCAGACAGTGGAATGAAGGAGAAAAATGAACAAATAATAGCAGAGATGAGGCAGAGAATGTAGGCTATAACCTTTAATATAGATAGCCTTGATACACTAACAAAAAGAAATACAGGCAGAGTAGATCAGGAGATAGGGTCCAGTGAGATGCTCTGAATAGAAAATATACTCAATCTAAAAGAGGTTTAATAAACTGAAAATCAGAGATGAGAAAACAATGCTCTATGTGACAGGGAACCAGAGAGAAATAGGGACAACTCATCCAGCAGCCACAGATAGGTTGTAAATTTAAGACACTTTTGTGTGGTGTAGAACTACACAGCTGGGAGGAAGGAAAACTTGTGGCTTTAGTAAGTAAAGGAGTACAGCTCAAGATCAAGCTCAGGGGTGAAAAGGTTCAACAATACTCACATAGATAATGGGTTGACCCTCTAATCTAAAAACTAAAGGAGCTAGTGGGACCCAAAACATACAAGGCATCCTGAAAAGGGGAAAGGTGAGGAATTGCCTAAAAAGGAAGACAGAGGACATTGTTAATAGTGTATCAGGATTTAAAAGTCACAGTAGTCTTATCGCTCTGTTTAGTTTGGTTTTATTTTGTTCCAGTCTGTCTACTCATACTAGATTTGAGGGCACAGACAGATATCCCAAAGATAGCAGGCTATACTACAGTAACTATACTTAATTTCCTATTAACTTAAACTGAAGCCCTGTATTACTTACATTGTCTTACTATGACTGATCTTATTTGAAGCTGGTTTGTTAGACTGCTATTTTGCCTTGACTGATTTTATTCTAATTTGGTATGCTTGATAGTATCAAGTCTAAGAGTAGAGGCAACTACTCTGAAGATGACAAGATGTAATAAGATACCCATTCTGGTTTGATTGTTAACTGCTTTTGAAGTCCTACGAGGTCTCCAAAGTTGTGTTTTTATTAAAATAGGTATATAATGCTATGTTCAATTATATTATGCCTGATGATGTGGACAATTCTACTGAAAATAACAATAGAACACATAGTAACTACTGTAGATAACATAATATTGTGGTTTTATATGTCTTTTTTATTTCATGTTTTTCTAGGAATTTGTTTTGCTGTCTTGTTATGATCTGTTTTCCCCCATAATACAGAAAGGATAGATATACATGTAGAGATTCACACATGGGGAGAATTTCTAAACTGTTTACGGGAACAGATTATATAATGCACAATGTAATGGACAGATACTCTGAAGAAGAGACACTAAGAAATTCAGTGCTAATTCTGTAGCATTATGATATGAAATCTAGCAATACTATTATTCACTGTTCACAGTGATATCCGTCTAGTCTCTTATGTTCAATTTCAGCATACATAAGATAAGGACAGCTACTATGAAGAGAATGAGAGACATTATGGTAGTCATTATTGACTTCCCCCGTGTCAGGTCTTGAAGACCTAAAAAGCCTTCATTATCTTGTTATGATTTGATTAGTTCTATAATGTTCAGTATGTATTCAATGTGTGTGAAGATGGGAACAACTATTTGGAAGAAAACTAGAGAAAATAAGATAGACAGTGAAGATCTCCAGTGGACTTGCTTTGAAATCTGTGTTTCTTAAACTTGTTTCCTTAAGATCTGTTTTTTTTTTTTTCTGTTTTGTTATGTTTAATCTTACCCTCTTTAAAAGAAAAGAAAAAGAAAAAGCTCAGTAAACCCTAACTGGGATAAATCCAAAGAAATTCACACTAAGACACATCACAGGCAAAGCATTGAAAGACAAATACAAAGAAAAAAATCTTTAAAGTACCAAGTGAAAAAACAATAAATAGATTTCTGATTTCTCATCAGAAAACATGGATGCTCCCAAAACAGTAAATGCCATATTCAAAATACTGAAGAAAGAGAAAATTGTCTATTAAAACTCCTATGTCCAGCAAAACTGTATTTCAGAAATGAAGGCAAAATAAAAATGTACACATAACCTCTCTTACAAATAATACCAAATGAAGTTTTTCAGGCTGAAAGAAAATAATCCTAGGTGCTATGCAAATCCACATGAAAAAATACAGGGCATGAGTAAAGTTAATTATGTATTTAAATAAAAAACACAGTATAAAGATACCTTTTATCTTTTCCTTTCTTGTTTAAGAGACAATTGCATAACATAATAAATGTTATAGTGCTGGGAACAACTTAAAGAAGTAATGTATATGTGAAAAATAATATCACAAAGGAGAAGGAAATAGAACTAAATTTCTATATTTCATAGGAAATTAAGTTCTATATTTTAATGGAATTAAGTTAGTAGTATCTGGAATAGGTTGGTTTTTTTTATTAAGATGTATAACTGCAGTTCTAATCAGAACTGCACTCTCACTAAGAAAATCATCTCCAAAAGTTTAATTAAAAATACACAATAATTAAAATGGTATACTAAGAAAAACATTGTCATGATTTATGTCAGTAGCCCCCAAGCCTCATGCAACTGTGTGTTTGTGATTGGTTCATTGTCTAGTGCTCAGACTGGTGATGTCAGTGCAACACCTGCCTAGGGGTGGAGCCAGGATATGATGTAAAGTTAGGAAGGAGATGTCTCTCGCTGGTTTCCGCATTGCTATTGGCACTGCCATGAACTGAGGCCCCAACATGCCACCCTGCCTTGGAGCCATCTGAGTATGGACTGAAATCTCCAAGAACTGTAAGAAATAAACCTATCCTTACCCAACTTTGGGCATCAGGTATTTTGTCCCAGCAATGAGAAAAAGTAACTAAGACACTTACTTAGGACCAAAAGGAATAAAGAAGAATAGAAGAACTAAAGAACACGAGACAAGTAGAAAACAAACAGAAAAGTAGGAGACAATACAAATATATCAAAAAACACATTAAAAATAAAGTGTTCTCATTTCATTAGCACATACACTAAAATGGCAATGGTACAGACAAGATTAGCATGGCCCTGTACAAGAATGATATGCACATTTATGAAGTGTTCTATTTTTTCAAGAGAAAAAAGCCAATCCCAAAGTGTTAAATAATCCATTATTCTATTTATATTACACTTTTGAAATAAAAATTAGGGGCCATATTAGTGATTGCCATGAGTTCAAAATGAAGAAAGAGTAAGTGTAACAAAGGAAGTGCTGCTCATTATAAAAAGGCAAAACGAGGGAGAGTGTTCAGTACCCTATGTACATAGGTGATAAAATTGTAGAGAACTTACCAAAAAGCAAGCCCTCCCTGCAAACCAACACCATGCACTGGCCACCACTGGTCGGGGGACTGCCAGACCCCAGCCTCTTCCAGCATGTAGGATGGAGAACAAGAAGAGCCAGTTCCCCCTTTCCCCCCATTAAGCAACTGGCTGATCTGGAAAAACACAGGCTGTGATGATAGCTGTTGAGGTGAAATGAAATTTCATGTCTGTGGTGTTTTGGTGTTTCACTAAACTCACAGGTCTAGTACCAGTGGTCTGATCATCTATTTGGAGGATGGTGGTATGCCATGTGGCATCTAGTGGCATCTCCTTCTGAAAGTGGTAGCCATTGTTAATTCCCTATTATCTTGTTTTGAAGTCCTGCATCATTTTCATTGTTTTGTTGAGTTGGGTTTTGTTCTGTTCTGTTTTGTTTGATTTTGTCATATCTGATGGCATGGGCAGCTATTTCAAAGATAGCAAGATATATTATAGTAGGTATTTTGGATTTACTATTGTTTGGATTTGAAGTCCTTTATTGCATTCATTGTTTTGCTTTTATTGGTTCTATTCTCTTTCTGTTCTGTTTGATTTTTATGATATCTGAGGGTATCTGCAGCTGCTTTGAAGGCAGCAGGAGGCATTATGGTAACCATTGTTCATTTTGTATTGTTTTGAAGCCCTGTATCACTTACAATGTTTGTTTTGATTGGTTTTCTGTTTTACTTTCTTTGGTTTTATCCTTGTAAGGGAAATTAGAAAATATTTTTAACTGAAGGAAAATAATACCACTATACACCAGAATTTATGGCATAGTGACAAAGTAGTGTTTAGAGAAATCTTTATAATTTCAACTTCCTAAAAAGAATAATGATGTCATATTAACAACCTAAACTTCTAATTTAATAAATAAAAAAAAGAAAAGAAAGCTAAACCTAAAACAAGAAAGAGGAACAATAACAAAGATAAAATGACATTCAATGAAACAGAAAATAAGAAAACAATAAAGAAAATGTATGATACCAAAAAATGGTTTCTCAAGTCAAACAACAAAAATTGAACTATATTTACCATGAAAAAGGAGGAGATATAAATTAACAAAAAATCAAAATGGAGACATCACTATTAACCTTAGAGAAAATAAAAATACTATGACCAATTATGTGCCAGAAAATTCAGATGAAATTGATATATTCCTAGAAAAACACAAATCTCCTACACTGACTCAAGAAGAAATTTTTAAAATATGAATAGACCTATAAAAAATAAAGAAATTAAATTAGAAACTCAAAATGTCTCCACAAAGAAAAGCCTACACCAAGATGGCTTCAGTGGTGTACCCAAGCATATAAAGAAGTTAAGTCAATCCTCCACAAATTCTTCCAGAACTGAGAGGTAAAAAATGACTTGTCAGTTGTGGGTGCCACTACAAGGGTCACTGAGCTAGCTGCACATCTAATGGGAGGATCTAACAAGATGCAGCCTCTGAAAACCAAAGACAGCAGATCACCATGAGTATTTCTCAAATACACAGACCATCAGGGATCCTATTAATGATTCATGTAAAGGAATTAAGGAAACTGTCTTGTTAAACACAGAGGAAATGACACCACAGACAAAAGAGTATATATTTTTCTTGTCCTCCACAAGGACTAGTCAATAGACTAATGACAAATGTGCCTATCTTGGAGAGATAATTTTGCAACTCATTAGAATACCTACAGTGCCCCCACTTCCATCTCTTCTCAAACCTTGAACTATGGTGGACTGACAGTGCTGCTTTCACAGAAGACTCAGTGGTCCCTCACCCAGACAGAGGATCCTGGTAGGTTCTGGTCAGTATGTAAACAACAGTTGGGCTGACATCAACCACACAGTAGGACCCTGGAACATACACTGTCAACAGTTTTGACTATTGGGATTAAATAACCAGATATTGGCCCAGAAGTTGAAAATGACAAAACAAAAAACCAAAATGCAATCTCAAACATGTAGTCCATCATCTGCAAGAACAGGTGACAGCAAAATGGGGGACTTTAAAAGTCATACACCAGAAATCTCTGAAAATATAGCAAAGGAAGTAAAGAAACAAATCCATGAGGCTATAATGGAAATCGAATTAGAAGTAATGACTTATGTAAAGACAGAAATAACAACCTTAATAAAGGATTTGTTCAACATAGCTAGGAAAGAAATAGATTTTAAAAAATACAGGACCATGGGAAACTGATGGAAACTTTGAATGAACAATGTAGAAAATAAGCAGAATCCATGAAACAAATTCAAAGAGCTATCCAAAAACAAAAAGTTCTATTAAAAGCTGGCAAAACAATTTAAATGAAGCTGAGGATAGAATTTCAGACTTTGAGGACAGAATAGCAGATAGCAACCATGAAAAGATAGAACTTAAAAAACAATAAAGCAGCATGAAATGACAATTCAGCAGCTTCAAGATGACACCAAGAGAAACAATGTAAGACTAATAGGCATCAGTGAGGATACAGGAGACAATGCAAGGAAATAACAAAGCTGTTCAAAGAAGTAGTAGAAGAAAATTTCCCAAACATGGGGGGAAAATCTGACATACAAATACGTGAGACATACAGAATGCCAAACAGTCATAACCAACATATATCTATACCCAGACATAATAATTAAGATCCCAGACATACAACATAAAAACAGAATACTAAAAGCTGTTAGAGAAAAGATACAACTCACCTATCAAGGAAAGCCAGTTAGAAGCACTGCAGACTTCACAGCACAAACTTTCTGGTTAAGATGTGCTTGGAGTAAAGTATATCAAGCCCTAAAAGGAAACAACTTTCAACCCACACTGATATACCCAGGAAAACTATCTTCCAATTTTAATGGAGAAATAAGATACTTCCATGACAAAGAACAACTGAAGAAATTCATGTTCACCAAACCAACCCTAGAAAGAGTATTGAAAGGCATGCTAGACAGAGATAAAAATGACCACAATCTCCAGAACAACAACAGAAAGAAACCACCAGGATAGACAGAAATTAAACAAGGGAGAAAAGCAAGAAACCAATAATAGGAACACAATATGGCAAAGTCAAGCCAGTACATATCAGTGATATCCATAAATGTAAATGGGCTCAATTCAACTATCAAAAGAAACAGACTGACAGTATGAATCAAGAAACAGCATCCCACAATATATTGTATACAAGAAACACATATGGCTCTAAAAGAAACTCATAGACTAAAAGTCAAAGGAAGGAAAACAGCATTCTATGCGACAGCAACAGGGTAGCTATTCTTTTTGCAGACAAAGTGAACTTCAAACGTAAAATGATTAAAAGAGATTAAAAAAAGGCCACTACAAACTCATAAGTGAAAAATTACAAGAGGAAGAACTAATAATTATAAATATACACGTACCAATGACAGTAGCACCAAACTGTGTAAGACAAACACAAATGGACATGAAAAACCAAGTACACAAGAACACAAACATAATAGGAGACCTTAACACCCCATTGTCACAAAGAGATAGATCAACTGGACAAAAAGTCACCAAACAAATAACATAACTGAATCACACTTGTGAATGAATGGGTTTAGTAGATGTTTACAGAGTGTTCCACCCAACCACATCAGAATATACATTCTTCTCAGCTGCACATGGGACATTCTCCAAAACAGACCATATATTAACTTATATAACATTCTTAAGTAAATGTAAAGGAAGTGAAATTATCTCATGCTTAATATCTGAGCATAGTGCACTAAAACTGGAAATCAATAGCAAAAAACCCTGCAAAACCTGCAGAAATACATGGAAATTATATAACAATCTGCTGAACAAACAGTGGGTTACAGATGAAATTAAAGATGAAATAAAATACCTACAATACAATGAAAATGCAGACACAACATACTGTAACCTATGGGATGCAATGAAAGCAGTTCTAAGAGGAAAATGTATAGCAATAGACAGTCACATCAAGAAAATGGAATGAGCACAATTAAATAACCTAATGCTACATCTCAAGCTCTTAGAAAAGGAAGAGCAATTCAAATCCAAAGCTCATAGAAGACAGGAAATTGTAAATATTAGAACAGAAATTAATGAAATTGAAAGCAAAAAAAATACAGAGAATTAACACATAAAAGAGCTGGGGTTTTGAGAGGATAAACAAAATTGATAAACCTCTAGCAAAACTTATCAAGAAAAAGAAAGAAAAAACTCAAATCCATGCAATAATGACTGAAAAGAGGAAAATTTCTATAGATCCCATGGAAATTCAAAAGATCATGAACACCTACTTTGAAAATGTCTACTCACATAGCATGGAAAACACAGAGGAAATGGACAGGTTTCTAGAAAATTATGAACTACCAAAGCTCAATCAAGAAGATATAACAATCTTGAGTAACCCAATATCAGCCACTGAAATTTAAAATGTGATTAAAAACTTTCCAACAAAGAAAAGCCCAGGTCCTGATGGTTTCACCACTGAATTCTACAAGACATTTAGAGAATTAATGCCAACACTCTTTATTTTTTTTATTTAAGAGGAAAAAGAGAAAAACACAAAACAAACCAAAGCGGCGTAAGGGTACACGCAATACAGAACTACAAAACCAAACAAAACAAAACAAAACAAAAAACCATAACAGTAAGAAATTACCTGCTAGTAGATTACACACTATTTTCTTGAAAATAGTTCCTCAAATCACAGTATCAAAGAACACAAGGTGGACATTCAAACAGGGAGACTGCAAACAGCTGTGTTCAATGTTCCAAAAACATTGATAAAGTCAGCTATTTAACA